CTTTTTCTTCTTTGTTTTGATCCATATCCAAGTGTATAGAGCTACAGACATGAAATGTAAAAAAGGAAAAATAAATAATTACCCTGAATTAAAAATTTCTTCCAATGATTTATTAATTTCGTCCCGCGTTTCAGTTAAGTCGCGGCATTGATTTAAGATTTAACGTCAGGAGGGAACAAATTAATAAATCATGGAAAGGAATTACTACAACTTGACCTAAACGTGGTAATAGATCAGCTTATCAACCTTTTAAGTCCCTTTCAATAACACTGGCCAAATCCCAGAATCCACCTCTGTACAGTTATAACAGCAGCAGTTGTGTCTATCGATGCGCATGAATACAGCACAGACTTCAAGCAGTAGTTCAGATGAGAGGCGAGGCAAGGAGATTGAAGCACAGCAGTTATTGAGCAAAGTGCTGCTCAGAGTATATGGGCTATGTAATCCTTATCGACTCAAAAAGCGAATGAGTGGAGGGGTGGGATGAGGGAACAAGGGGAATGGGGGAGGGGGAATCAACTGCAGTAAATCAACTTTCCTCCCTCTTCCAAAATTACAGAAAAGAAGAGATGATGGAAAGACAGGAGGTGATGAGAGAAAAAAGGATGAGATTGGAACAAGATCAGAAGAAGGATAGAAAGGGACTATAGAATCTTTTACCTGATTGCTTAGAAATGTATCCACAAAAAACACATCAGGGTATCATTCATGTTCATACAAACAACATGGGATAAGTTACACAGTATACACCAAAGTTATTAACTAAAACTAATTGAAATGAAGCTGACATCAAAAAAAGATGAAACCTTGAACAAAAACACAATATAAAATGGCATATATTTCCAATTAATTTTGGCTGAATATTATCCACGGCATAACTAATTTCAACACTTAAAAAAAAATTACATGCTTTGGCTTTAACTACCACTGCGCCAGAATGCTCAATTATGATTGGTTATTGACTGTTTTCTGAGATCAAATTTTTTGTAGTAGATTTGTATTTTCATGTCTGCTTTGTATCAGAGTCCTGATCACCCTGTCTTGGTTTATTTTGTAATAATGTATTTTGGACTGTACAAGTACATGTTCTGGTACTTTGTGTTTTGGGGCTCTGTAATGTCAAAATAAACATACATAAATAAAATATAAATATTCTGTAAAAAAAAAAAACGGAAATAAAAATAAATTAAAGCTAAATAGAATTAGAAATATTTAAAAATTACTCAAACTAAAATTAAAACTTAAAATATAAAAATAAAAGCGTATTCAAAATATTAATAAACACTAATATAGATAAATAATACGAAAATAACACATGATACTTAATGTTTGAAGCTTGTTCCAATCGCCAGAAACCAAGTAGATGTCTTGTCAAAGGGTTGTATAACCTTGTACACAAATTAATTATCAGCCACAAAAACAACAAAAAAAACCCCAGAATGTTCAGAGAAACCAGAATCATCCCATTAAACGATAGCTCTAAGCAACAGCATAGAGGCTCTTCCTCAGACCTGTGAGCTTACACTCACCTAAAGGATTATTAAGAAAACTATACTAATACTGTGTTTGACCCCCTTTCGCCTTCAGAACTGCCTTAATTATACGTGGCATTGATTCAACAAAGTGCTGAAAGCATTCTTTAGAAATGTTGGCCCATTTTGATAGGACAGCATCTTGCAGTTGATGGAGATTTGTGGGATGCACATCCAGGGAACGAAGCTCCCGTTCCACCACATCCCAAAGATGCTCTATTGGGTTGAGATCTGGTGACTGTGGCGGCCATTTTAGTACAGTGAACTCATTGTCTCATGTTCAAGAAACCAATTTGAAATGATTCGAGCTTTGTGACATGATGCATTATCCTGCTGGAATTAGCCATCAGAGGCTAATGCTCAGAAACAATGCTCAGGTAGGCCGTGGCATTTAAGCAATGCCCAATTGGCACTATAAGGGGCCTAAAGTGTGCCATGAAAACATAATTCACACCATTACACCACCACCAGCAGCCTGCACAGTGGTAACAAGGCATGATGGATCCATGTTCTCATTCTGTTTACGCCAAATTCTGACTCTACCATCTGAATGTCTCAACAGAAATCGAGACTTATCAGACCAGGCAACATATTTCCAGTCTTCAACTGTCCAATTTTGGTGAGCTCTTGCAAATTGTAGCCTCTTTTTCCTATTTGTAGTGGAGATGAGTGGTACCCGGTGGGGTCATCTGCTGTTGTAGCCCATCCGCCTCAAGGTTGTGTGTGTTGTGGCTTCACAAATGCTTTGCTGCATACCTCGGTTGCAGTGTTGTAGTACTCGAGACTCGGACTCGTCTCGGACTCGGTCTCGAGACCATAGAAATGGTTGTGCGTGAAAATCCCAGTAACTGAGCAGATTGTGAAATACTCAGACTGGCCCGTCTGGCACCAACTACCAAAATTGCTTAAATAACCTTTCTTTCCCATTCTGACATTCAGTTTTGAGTTCAGGAGATTGTCTTGACCAGGACCACACCCCTAAATGCATTGAAGCTTGACCAGGACCACACCCCTAAATGCATTGAAGCAACTGCCATGTGATTGGTTGATTAGATAATTGCATTAATGAGAAATTAAACAGGTGTTCCTAATAATCTTTTAGGTGAGTGTATAATGAAATCCATAAGCAGCATTATCTGTCATTATCTGATAAAAATCTTTAGTGATGTTTCAAGCAAGCCTGTCTGGCTGTATTTGATTCTCTGCACTCTCCTTACCTTTTCAGCCCAGTATTACGGTGTCATCTTCTCTGACTCATTCTATTGTCATATTAATAATTTATATAAGACAAATTACTTTATGAAATCTTAAGTAACTAGCTAGAAATCTTAAGCTAACGTTTTCTCAATTTTTAATCTCATCCTAAAACTTTAATCACTACAAATATTATGGCACACTAAATGTGCTCATAATAATCCTGATCTCTCTTTCAATTGTATAGCATGTCTTGGCTCAAAGCACCACATCTGTCTTCTTGACCATCTTTCCATGTGTGCGTATGCGTACAGCATTGTGATCTGTATTCACAGCAGCTTTCCTTGAGGTGCACAAAACAATTAGAGCTAATTGCAGGAGCAGATTTACACAGTCTCAAGTAAACGTTTTTGATTTAAACATTTGCTTTGTGATGGAAGCCAATAGCAGAAAAATAGTCAAAACATTGAAAGAAATTCTACATTGAAATATGTTCAGAAAATGCTGCAAACGTTCTACCTAGCACGTCACTACCTTATTTTTTCTTCTTCTTCCAAAACCTAGTGATCTGCCAACAGAGGAAGCATTTTCAAGCATCATTGGAGCACTTCCAGTATAAGCTGTTCCAAAAGGTAAGCTTCAAAACTTAATTATGCTGCCTTCTTTTGGCCAAATTGCTAAGACAGCATCATGCATCTTTTGTGGAGAATGCAATTCCATGATGCACTGCGACAAGGTCAGTGGAAAAAAAATCATCCAAGATGACAGACGAGGAGAAATGTAGATTAAATGTATATTGCATTTAGTTAAGTGTCCATAAAAATGGTTCAGAAGTGTAATTCAAATTTAACCCAATATTTGTGTGTAATGTAGTTTTATGTTTATTAGAGTATTGTGTCATTTGAAATCAATTTTATGCCAAGTCTCAATTGCAAAACTCCATTTACTCAAATTACTTCCAAGATAATTTGGATGCTGACTTAGAAGGCATCTTTATAGGCAGTAGGCAGTGTAGCAGCTCACAAGGTTTTGGAACAAAGCTCCTGTCTTTCAACTACCTGGTGCTTCTTTCTCCTGTTTTTCTAATCTCGTCAAGCCTCTGGTATTCAGCACACATCTTATCCTACAGTGGATCACAAAGTTCAGAGAGAAAGATAGAAAGACACTTTCCCTACTGCTTTAGGTCTGGAATAAGCCATTCTAAAGTAGAGAATATTCCAAGGGTCTGCAGAATAATAATAAATTCCACATAAAAAAGTGGACTTTTGCCATACAATGAAATTCATACATAAGCTAGATTTTTCTCTAGCTGCTAAAATTTGGGGTTGGTGAAGCAATCGGCTTTTGTCATGCATCTACACTGTTAAAAATTGCTGTAAAAATACAGACAATTTCCAACAGTAAAATACTGTTATTTCAATAAACAGTTTTATCCTGTAAATTTAAAGTCTATGTTCCATACACTGTAAAAAATTCACCTGTATATTTACAGTAAAGAACTGGCAGCTGTGGTTCCAGCCCTTTACCGTAATTTTACAGTTTCAACAATGCTGTAATTTTACAGTACAGTACTGGCAGCTGTGGTTCCAGCCCTTTACTGTAATTTTACGGTTTCAACAATGCTGTAATTTGGAAATGACAAGAATGACTATAAATGCATGACATTTCAAATTTGATGCGTTTATGCTGCATTGTTATGGGGAAAAATACACAAAAAAGTGCAAAAAAAATGTCATGGAGTATATGGGTGCATATCTTTTAAAACATTTTACCACAAAAATATATTTTGCCTATTTTTATAACATATTTATTAAAATCTTTTGAAACTGCATTACAATTAACTGAAATATAAATGTATAAATAATAATAATAATTATCTATACTACATTGTAGCATTTTTTACTGCTTTAAATTTATTCTGATTTAAATGTATATATATTTTAAGAATAACCAAGTACTGAGAATTAATAAAGAAAAAAGAAAAAAAAACGTATGCAGATGCATAATGGTATTGACAATTACATACATTTCCCTCCTAAAAATGTGACAAAAAAAAGTTCCTTTCAATTTGGGAGTGAGATTTCAAGATAATGTAAATGTTTAATTACTGGAGGGAAATCTCAGTTACAATTGCAAAAAAACAGCCAAACTCACAGTAATAAACGCTTTCTGCAAAAGCATCATTCAATAAAGAGAAGGATAAATCTCCCATCGTACATTCAACATGCACACGTACAACAGGTTTATTCAAGAAGCCAATAGAAGTTTCCTCACCTCTTTCTGGTGATATTTAATGGCTAGCTTGAGTTTGGCCAAGTCTCGGCACTCTCGTGGGTCCAGCTCCTCGCTTTGGTCATCACGGTGATTGAGGATGGTCTCCAGCTCACGGGAGCTACGTGCCTGGTCCAGCAGGTCTTTAGCAAAGAGCTTACACTGTTGAGAAAGCTCCTCGTACTCTTGCCGAAACTCATTTTCCACTTTACTGAGCTCCTTCAGTTCCCAGCCCAATCTAAAGGCGGTTAGTATGGGATCCTCGCTGGAGAGGGCGATGAGAGAGGGGCTGGCGAGCGCTTTATAGATGTTGAGACGGGACCGAGAGTGACGCAAGCTGTCCACTTCAGAGCTGGACACACACTCCACACAGTCACAGCGGATCTGGTGCGGCCGAGGGATGGTGACTTTGCGTTGGACGAGGAGTTTGATGATCTCATAGTTGTTTGTGTGGGCAGCGAGCATGATGGGAGTGATGTCAGGTGTGAACTCAGAAAACTGGGCGTCCATCATTAATGATGGAACCTGAGAAAGAGGGGACAAGAACGAACGTGTGAAAAACACAAGATTCATGGAGCGTTTCACCTGCACAAGCTGCTGAGAGTCTATCATGATGGCAATCCACCAATCCGCACTGCATGCGAACACTAACTAAAGCAGCAGAATACAGATGACTAGACAAGAGTGCAGCCAGCTCTCTAATATCACAGTTGATTGCTGTATCAGCCATAAGATTAAATTAGGAACAAATTGAGACTTTAACTAGTCAGTGAAAAGGCCATGCACAAATCTGAAATAACGATAGCTGCGGTTGCCAGACCTTTACCCTATTTAAATTTAAATTTCATTAACTAAAATAACCTCTAATATTAATACCTTTATAATATACTGGCAACCACCTTAAAACACATTTGATTAAAAGAAAGCCACCATGATTAAGTTCAGCTTGAGGTAAATACTAAAATAGAAGATACAATGTCATAAATACATAGATGCAAAACACCATCATAGTAACAGATATGACTAAATAAACATTTATTTAACAACATAGCCCTAATTTACATATAGATAACACTTTTTACAGTATTTTACTGTAAAATTACACGACTGTCCCATTCTTTTACAGTTTTTCACTGTATATAGAGTAAGGGAACTTACTGTACCTTTAACCAATGGTTTTTAACGTTGCACTTTTATTGTTAAAATTATGATCTCATGTGTTCACGTGTGCTCTTCTGAGTAGGCACGTTTGCACACTCTGTTTACATCAAAGAACTTACTTAAATATTTAGGTTCGTAATTAAAATAAGGCTCGGGAAAAAACATGGTTACTGCTTGGAACAACAAGAGGATGAGTAAATAATGAGAGAATTTTCACTATTATATTTTTATATTGAATTTTCAATATTTCACAAATTTTCGGATTTTAGAATTGAATAAAAACAGAATAAAGAGAGAGGGAGTGGGCCAAATACACAATATACGCATGTTAGCGGGAGTAGCTACTGTAAGACTGGAGATTTATATTTTGACTCACGTTTTCAGAGATGAAAGTCGAAATGTTAATTTGACAGAAATGAGAGGTGGTTAAAAACAGAAGGTTCCAGAGTATGATGCCCCGCCTCCTCTGCCTTTCACTCCTCCCCTCACAAACAGGGAGGCTACACAACAGACATGACCGAAACACTGTTTACAGGATGAGTGAAAAAAAGAAACAAGCGATGATGAAGGAGAACAGCTTATATCATGCTGTCCTTGCAACTGTCAGAAAGATTAACCTCAAGCCAGTTAGAGCCTCTCCTATCTTTCACCTTTATCTTTGTCTTTCACACCATGTGTATCTTTTCTCCCCATCCATCACATCAGCAGTCATTCAGAGGTCTTCCCATGAACCTTTTTATAATTCCTTCATTTTTTACACTCATTGTTTACCTTTTGTAAGCACAGATGAATACACAAACATGTGAATACACAAACACACATGCATGACGCCTTTTATCCATTTTTTAAGTGCCAGTATATGACCAACATACTCAATTCTATCATAAAGACAGCCATATCTGCCATGAGAACATTACAGAAATTTGATTTGTGGTATGGCGGTGCTATAAGCCAGTGATTAAGTGAGGTTTGCAAATGTATTTTATTTTGAGATTTATTTTCAGTCCATTAGTATAGCAGTCCTCACCCAGAACTCCCAAGTGGCTGCAAGGGTTGCTATAGTGATAGCAATGCAAAATAGCCCATGCTCTGCGAATGGCATGCACATGGTACATGGGCTAGATTCCAATTTAGGCCCCACGGCACTTCAATCTCACTTGATGTATCTGCACCAACGGAGTTCACTTTAGAAAAGCAAATAATAAAGCAAAAAGAACAAACCTTGCTACCAGCCTTTTTTTCCCCTAATGCTTGATCCCTCTAACATCAAAAGTATAGGATGTAGCACTTTACTTCAGAAAACTGTGTACGTCTAATCCAAGAGGGAGCAACAAAGCTACCGGGAGCAGCATAAACATCATCGTTGCTCATTTGTAAGTCAGTGAAGCTGTAGAGTTACTAAAGAGCTATAGAATAATTCATGTCTCTTGCATCTTCACTCTAATGGGGTGTTCACTCTAGACTTTGAGCAAATTCAAACATATAATAAACAATATGAAATTCAAATATAACATAAAAAATATAGATTTATTGACTTCAAAAATGTGTAACAGAAACATATTCAGTCTCTCATCTTGATAATTTTGCATTTTATTAAGATATTACTTACCTAGCTAATATGAATGTTCTGCTAACATTCCCATTAAGTTATGAAAAGTTATTTATGAATTCTTTCGGAATGAAGAATCCCGGAAGTACAGATAGACAACAATGTCTTGGACTACCAACCTGAAGCTGCTGCCGCGATTAAAACATTAGATGTTAATATCCAATATAGGATATGTACGTGTATATAGTTCGTTCCTAATTCTTTTTTAAAGTTCTGAATATATATTTATAAATTGATAAATTTCACTGTATATAGTCTAAACTATTTATGAAATGTATGTACATTTTTAGAAAAACAAATTTCTACATTAAACACAACAATACGCCATCGCATTCGCGACTCTCCTATGATTTAAAGCGACACTTCTGGTTTTCTTCCCACCGGAGCCATTTTAAAATGGCGGCTGCGAGAAATCAGCATATAGGCTGGTTGTTTACACACACATCTGAGTTCAAACACCTTATAAAAGTGAATTTTGCATAGTAAGTCCCCTTAAGGGAATGTTTTCTGCATATTTTTTTTCAAGCGTTATGGGAACATTACTTTTCTAAACTAATGTTTATGTGCCATGTACGACTTGCAGCAATTTGTAATCCTCCCTCTGTGTGTATAAACAAGTGGAAAACGTGTTTAGAATAATATTACAGTAACAGTAATACACTAGCAAGCAAGATACAACCAAATTTCAAAAGACCACATAAAATGTCATCAAAATGTCACATTGATGAGCTCATTCCAAACAAGAAAATGATTGTCAGTTTAACGGGATGGTTTGAAATGATATATACTGTAGGTTGACATCTTGTTGGGGGAAAATGGATTTTCCTTTAAAAATAATCCTGCTTGCACAATTTACATAATTAAAATAAGCTAATAAAAATTATTCTTGAACAAGCTATCACAATTTATTTTTACAGCATGCAGTCTGTTTAAATTTGTTTAAACAGAAGTTTACTCAATCCATTAATCCTCTGCATGAATATATTTCATTGGCAGCAACACTGCATTATTGAAAAAGGACAGATGATTTCCAATTCCCAGTATGCTTTTAATGGGACTGGCTGGGGTGAGTAAATATTGAAAGTCTTATGGCCTGTTTACACCTGGTCACTTCATCTGTTTTTTTCTGATTGGATAGCTTTAGTTGGTGTTTTAGAGTACCCTTGGGGTGAAGAGTGGAGCTTGAGTTGATCACCTTGTCCACCTCAAGAGGTTACTATGGCTGAGTTTATAGGGTTGCCAATTCTCACACATCTGGCATGAAACTCACGCTTTCAGCATCAATCTCACGCTCTCATGCACACGCAAGAAATGTGACGCCAAAATCCATTTTACTCCCCTCTCAATCCGTTAATTTTCTGTTGATGGTTAGAGCCCAGTGTATTAATGACAGAAGAGGAGTTTAAGGCACACAGACCTAACATCTGCCTACAACGTCATTCTCACAGTATTCTCTGATTGTTGATTCAATAAAAACCTTGCACCTGATACATTAGTTGCTTGTGAAAAGTTCATAGGGAGTTCAGAGCAGTCAGAGCCCAATGATGACAATCAAGGTAAGCAGATAATAAAATGGTGTGCCTTGTCACTAGTGTCGTAGCCTTGCCTTATCAGTCTGTGTGCCAAGCATAGACTGTAAAAAGGTACCAAGAGTACAAACTTCAACTATAGTTGCAATGGTTTGTTATATGGGCTAGCTAATTGCTCAATAAAACCATTTTGGCAAATCGGGCAAGTGGCATTTTAAAATTCCCCAAATGATCAAAGGTTGTCCAGATTGTGTTGAGCCTGCCACACTCAAATGCGGACGCTGTGCGAACCTTTTCAGTTATTTGCCTAAACAAGACTGACCCCGCACAGACTGTCACTTGATGGCACACTGTGATGGGAAGTTCGGATCATTTTACTGACTCGCTTGTTCGATCTCGTTCATTAAAAGGAATGAATCTTTTTCGAGTCATTTTGTTCATTTAAAGGGCTTTAAATGCTACACTTTTAACAGCAAAATTCCCCGAACACATCCACCTACACAGTCTTTATCATATTCTGAATTAAGAAATCATTATAATGCAGTCAAAAATTATTTACAGGGAACATAAATAATTACTTTACCTTCCGAGTCTTTTGTTCATTTGTCTCGTGACAGACGCAATGAATGAACGGATTGTTCGTGAAACGGATCGAATAGTGTTTCAGATTCAAACCTCTTGCAGAGCCAGTGAAGCAGGCCAAACTGACGAACAGGCCTCGTTCAGATAATGATGCACAATTAACACATATAGTATCATATAAGTCTAAATAAACTGTTTTAAAGATTGACCGGATATTGATCTGATCGGATATTCCAGTCAGAAGTGCGTTTACACTTATCTTTCAATGTGTATGTGGACAATATCCGGATACAGGTTGCATGTTAATGCCATTGCCAAGTGTGAGATAAGACTTGATAAAGTGTAAATAGAAGTAGCTGAGCTCCTGAGTTGATCTACATCTACACATGAGTGAGTAATTACTTGAAACGAAGAAACTCAAGCAGTAAATTCCATGAGAATTAAGTTCAGTGAATTTGTAAAGATTATAAAGACTTGAATTCAATTGAATTGCACTATGTGAAAAAATAAATAAATAAAAATATTTTGTGAGCGTCTGCAGATTCTGCATTTCCTGTGCTTGGCTTTACCTCATCTATTCACATGGAGATGGGAGTGATTTTATGTGCATAATTGATTCTACCCCTAAAAAGTGCATTCATAACCTCAAGCAATGATAAATTCATAGTGATAGCTTTTGTGTGCTTCCTTCTAGCACTGCGCTGTACAAATCGAGCCCCGTCTCACAGTAAATACCACTGTCACATGCCCTTTTTCAGAGTATATGCTTGTAGAACTCTCTTGAAGTTCCCTTCATCCTCCACTGGCCACAAAATCAAGCATGCCACAAAACACGAACTGTGAGAATACAGGAACGCAAGCATTTCAGGTTAATCTTACCATTGAATGAGGGGAAAGATTAGAGGATAACAAAATGCAATCCAATAAAGATTTGTCGTGCTACGTGAGGTGAAAATCAAATCTGAAATATAAATCTCTGCCATCTCCTCTTTTCTATTAGCTTTGGAACACCCACTCATCCGAACACATGCACATAGACAACCACAAATATGAACAGTTCCCACCTGCATGCACACTGTTCAATAACAGACACTCACTCAATACACACTAACAACGATTAGGCATTGCATAAGAAGGTGGACACTGACAAAATGCATATGAATATTCTATATTTATGTATTGTGTCATAACCAGGTGCATTGAAGAACTGGCTCTTATTCAGCATCAGTTCCATTTTTTAAAAACGTACCTCAAGCCCCAACCACATATTGTCCACAACAATGTTTCAAGGCCCACCAACTCACAATTTCTACCCAATGAAATATTTTAGAGCTTGGCATAACTAGAGGAATGTATAGGGCCTATTCATTTTTATAAAAAATAACTATCTACACTTTAATCATTTTAATGCTTGCTTTGTCTTATTTTAAATAAATGTAAGTCACCTTGGAAGGGCCCCTTAGAAATTTGTTGAGGCCCTCTGGTTGAGAGTCACTGGGTTGTTCTCATTGATTGCAAAAACATCCGATTCACAATATCACATTCGACTCATTTGAATAAGTTCTTCTTTTTAATAATTTTAAACTCATGATTTGGATTCAATTTTTTGAGAAACTTGCAGTCTAAGACTTCTGTCGCCTTCACACTGGCAGTTGAAATCCGCTCCGATACGGCTTTGAAACGACCGGAAGACATTCATTTCCTATGGAAATTCGCAGACAGCATGCGAATGGGTCCGAAACGGGTCCGACCGAGTGCGGTGCGAAGAAAATTGTGTCCGTTGGTCATCTGGATGCGTTCAAAAAATTGAATATCCTATCCGACAATTCTAGCGGACGTTGAGCGTTGCTATAGTACTGATAAACAAACCTGAATTTTTAACTTTTAATAAAATAAATAATGATTTTATAACGATAAGTTGTCGTGTCAATATTTTTTTGCATGACTTTCTAACGTTAGGGCAGTTAATACAATTCAACATTGAAATATTGACCACTATACCACTATATCACATTTTTTAGCCGAACTGACATGTCAACGTCCTCAGCAACTTTCCTCACGCAGCATAACCCTCATCAGAGAGATCATACAGAACTGACAGAATCAACCTTTTTAATCTCTCCACCATTTTTGTTCTACCCACGTCCAACTCTTTTCACTGTGTAGTACGACATCCGTTGGGGACATATTGCGTATTTGTGCGAGTGGCTGATTTACTGCATCGTTAAATTCCTTTTTGTCCTAACCTTTTCTATTTATGTTGCATTGTACTAGTAATAGATAGCCCTGCTCACATGGAAATCTCATTGGTGCATAATTCTGCTCTGAATAACAGCATTCCAATCATCTTATGTTTTCTTATTGTCTGTGACACAACATGGAGGGACAAATTAAGTTTGTAGCATTGCAACTGGTGAGTATTCAGTGTAAACCAGCTCACCATGGCTGGTCACCAGCATCAGTTAACCCTATAAAACCTACTATTGTTTGCTATATTGTTGATTAACATTACAAGCTATGAGAATTCCATCTTACTTTCTGCACCAAATTGCATATTTTGTCTCAGTTTGGGCTTTTGAATAAAACTAAAAAAAATGTTTATTATTCATATGAGCTCCACATGCACTCCACATTTGTCTAAATTTTGTCAAAAATGTATGTGATTAATAAACTGTTCAATAAAAATATTATGACAATGGTTTAATATCTCAGGCTTCACATGGTTAACTAACTTATTAGCATTTCCAGAACGAGTCTAGACTAGACACTACAACATAAACCAGCCGGGACCCCAACAGGATTAATAATGGTATAGCCTAATGCTTCTCTTTTCAGCGGTGAAAATGCATCCGAAACACAAACATACCTGTTTCTCTCCACTGGGTTTCCTGTGGGACAGTAGTAACTCCACGGCTCCCACCACTTCTTTGCGGATGGCGTAGAGCAAAGCATCTCCAGTGTTCACTCCGTGACCCAAAAGTAGCTCTATCACCTCAAGGTTCTCATTCTCAATAGCAATTAGCAGCGCGCTGCGGCCTAGTGGATCCACACAGTTCACATCAATGTTGTAATAGACCTCTGCCTCACGCAGTGCATGCTGGACCCCTGCATAGTCGCCTTTTTCCACGGCCAAAAGAAATGATCGCTCCTCTAGTGACAGCTCTACCTCTGCCCGGACGATCTGTAGAGGGATCCGGTCCCGGTACGGAGAGTAGCTGCTCTTTTTGTAGTATAGATGTGACATGGGATTCATGATGGATGCTGCTAGAAGAGATGAGATAGAGAAGCAATAATCAATTCATGTTCAGTAACAAACAGGAAATAGGCACTTGATTAAAAAACTAAAATTCATTACAAAAGTGCATCTGTCTGGGGAAATAGTGTACAGTTATAAGTGATATTTCTTATCATTCCACAAAAGTTGTTTTTATGATCTTGAAATGCATTATGATCGTTGAAGTTTAATTTGAGTACATTTCAGAGATGCTTGTAGCCATATGTGGGAAATTAATAGGTGACCTTTATGTTCACTACATCTAGAAAAAGACTTCCCGGGTTCACTTGTAATTAATTTTTAATACGTTTCTGGGAGTGACTAATGCTTCAAGTCATTTTTCTTAATGGCCACAACGTGGTCACAAGCAAGAGCTATCTCTGTTATTATGTTCAGTCATCATAATGTGGTGCCATTAATTCAGCTAGGCCACAACTGAAGAGCCATTTGCTTTGCTTTTTGTGAAATACTAACCACACACATCATGTATACCTCAGGTTTCGATCAAAAGAAGTAGAACAAATAAATTTGGTAGAACCATCATGGTGTTACGGCACTCTTTTGTAGTGGTGTAAATTTGAAAGTTAATCACGATACGATACGATATCGATTCTCTCAGCCAGCGATCCGATATTTGCTGATACCTCAAAAAATTCTATGATATGATTATGATTCGATTCAGGGCTATATCGATTGATTAATCGATATTTCAATATTATGTGCCAAGTGTACACAACCAGTTAAATTTATTAACTCACAAAACATCCAAAAATATATTACATGAAAGTTTAATTAAACTCTTTGAAAATTGCACACCCTCTCCCAATTGGGACATTTACAAGTTGTTTGTTACAAGTAAAAAAAAAAAAAAAAACATGAAGAAAATAATTCTGAACAAGAAAGTCAGAAAATCAGACTGCCTAAATCGATTATTTTTACATTTAGTTGTCAAACTACTAATTAAATGTACTTGATTGCTAGTGTGGACACAATTGTGGTTTATACAGAGGATAATACAGTATTTGTACATATATAAAATGTTAAATTAATATTATTTACAACTATTTCGTCGATGGACAGAATCTGTGGAAATGCTGTCGAGGTGAAAAAAAACCTGTAAATTTTTTTTTGAAGTGGGACTTGCTGGAAGAACCTCTAGTTGTGCCTTTCTAGTGTAATTCCTGTGGGTGTAGTTCGTAAAACTTGGCTGTTGGCTCTAAACAGTTTGTTACGTCACATCTTTCCCATGGTATTTCGGATATCTTCACATGGAACTAGATTTACATATTTAGCTTAACTTAAAAATCAGATAGAACACTCTATGTACATTGTAAGCGAGCAGTACTAAACATTTGAAACATTTCTCTTTCAATTATACACACTGAAGGTTAAAATTATTGTTTGTGGTAATCAACAGCATTTTTACAGATGTGGCCCATAAGCTAAACCATAAGTTGCCATTTCGTTTGGTCAGGAAACAGGACACATTTTTCTTTGTTTTGTTTTTCTCTCAGTTTGCAAACCAGTAGAATTCCTAAATTTTCCAACTTACCATCACTTCATCTCTACTCTTTCTGATCAGCAATGAAATATATCTGTCTAATTTCAGAATAATTGGGAAGACTTGAGTAATTACTGTGATTGACTCAGTGATGATGTTGTGTCTTGCTTTGATCTTCTTCACTGAAGAAGATGAACAGACACACCAGGTGGCGTCTTCCATATGGTCTCGCTTCAGCTGACACCACATATGCACACACACACACACACTTATCAGCACATTCAGACTCATTAGCGCCCAATTTACACGTTGCGTTGAATTTTATCTGGGGTCTAACCAGTGTCTAATAGATGCATATCCTCTAATCCACTGATAACATAATGTCATGTTATTATAATGTCTGTTTTGTTTTTTACAGGCGAACTACAGTAACTAATACTATTACTACTGATACTAATTTTATAGCATTGCTTTAGCTTGTCAATTGCATTTGCACTTAAAGTTGGCATGAAATAGAAGTATTATGTCAATTATTTATCCATGCATGTTTCTTTTTTTAGCTTGTATTTTTAAATCAAAATATAACTCATGATGAAATGATAGACTTCTTGAACTCTGCACCCACCGTCGAGCAAGCTCACATTCACATCTGCAACCATCCAGTAAACCACCAATGAATTGCCCTACTTTTTTCTTTTTTGATAATCACTTTCAATCAGATGGACGTCACAATATGGAAGAAAATATCGACTTCCGTTATATAGCGACTTTAATTTTCTACAGAAAGTAAGCCTGTGGTCTCTAACATTAATTTTAGCAAATAACAAGTTGCAACTTCATCAGTAAATCCAAGTTCTTTTTCTCAACCTCTCAAAATATCCACACCATGTTAATCCGATGCTGGTGAACACATCAGTGCACTTGCCCCCACTGCAGCTGGTACACCCACACAGCTTTCTGCTCCTTAATGCTAATTTTTAGATACTGGATAGGCGGATGCACATGCAAACAGTTCCAGGACCAGTGATGTTTTCTGTTTTCTAGATTTTGGTTGCTTTAGGGAAAAAAAAAACAACAACAAATCGATTGTGTTATTTTGACCCAAATTTGACTGAAAGTTCATTGTACGTCAAGCCCGGAACACACAAAGCCGGGCAGATTGTGTGCGTCGGCCGACTAAGTCTTCTCGGTGTGTTCCGCACGGTTCCCTGCCGTCGGCTGAAATTGGTCCTCGCTGGCTTTGTTTCGGCCGATTTGACATGTCGAATCGGTGTCGGGCCGTCTGTGAAAGAGCGAACTCTGATTGGCTGTTCAGCTTAGTGAACTAGTCAGTGACATTGCTTTTGACATTGCATCTAAATCCGACGCACATGGCACCCTTTAGCGTCAATATAACACGCTTCGGTTATGGGTAGGTTTAGGTCTGGGGTAGGGTTAGACCACTAGGAGGCGCCCTCTGGCCCATATATATCCGCGTCTCATATTGACGGTAAAGGGTGCCATGTGAGTCGGACGTAGACGCAAATGTCAAAAGCGTCACCTATATGACGCCTTGGGATGAGGAATTATCATTATTTTACATTCTTTCTTCAACATGACATCATGACTTTTGCATAAACATACACGCCACTTTCGAGTCAAGTGGCGTGTTATCTCTATGCATTTTGAGCTATCCGCGTGTATCTGCGTGTATGTCTACGCCATTAACGTCCGAGTGATTCCGCGTGTCTGTACACGCCGTCAAATGTCCGCGCGATACAAAGCAAAATGTAGATCAACATCTGGGGAGCGATCTTTTTTTCCCTAGGATGGTAAGGGAACAGTCATCAACCCCAGTGACGGTTAGGTTTAGGGACGGGGTTGAGGCAAGTCATATATTTATATATACAGTAATAACGTTAAGTCAACGGCGTTCATAAACACGCTGAAAAGCGATTATGCGTCTTGATAGCACGCCAAAAATGGAAATACGAATTGGCGTGTCATACACACGCTACTTCATGAGATCAGTCTGCTTTCTTTAGGCTTCTTTTACTTTCATGTGGTTGCTGTATAAAGATTTCTAACAGTCGATGACCCATAAACTTTACCCTGATGAGAAGACAAAGGAAAGGCATGCTTTGGACAGCCTCAGTGACTCCACTACAAAGCACCACTCTGACCGAGCAATTATCTCTGCAGTCTAATCGCAGATGGCTTAATTGTGTAATTAATCTGTGGTTCTCAGTCCTCTAAGGGCTGCCTATCTCTGAGGAATATCATTAGAGTATAAGCTGGGCCAAACATTAGCTGATAAATTAGACGTAAACTAAGTGTGCAGGACATTCCCCAGTGATCTATCTGAAGTGGACTGCGCTTCTCTGGTTGGAATGAGTGCCTTTCTGGAATGCTTTAACTTGCAGTAGTGATCCTTCCTTCCAGAGTATCTAACAAAATCATTCATTTATTTACTGCAATAATGAACCACAAATAATGATATTTCAAAATGATCTGAAATATGTATTTTTTACAGTGCAATATGTGAAATATTTACAAAAGAACAGTAGGTCACACTCACAAATCAATTAGTCACAATCCTTTAAAGTAAATTTTAGTCTGTGTAAAATGTGGATCATTGGGGTTTGCTCAAACTTGCGAAGTCCATTATAAATTCAGTTCATGATATTATTAAAGCACAAGTAAGAAATGCCAAATACTAAGACAGGGTTCCTCAAATCCAGCCCTGGAGGGCCACTTTCCTGTAGAGTTTAGCTCCTGATCAAACACACCTACCTGTAATCTTATGGCGCTTTTCCACTGCTGGTATGGCTCAGTACGGTTCAGCTCGGCGCTGCACGGCACGGTTTGGCTCTCTTCGCTTTTCCACTGCGTGGTACGACTCGCCTCGGCACGGCACGCCTCGGTTCGCTTTAGCTCGGTTGCTTTTCCACTGCAGTTAGTACCACTTTAAAGTGGGTGGGATTAGTTTAAAATCAGTCGCTACAGCGGTGGCTGTTACTGGCTATTTAATGTCGCTTTTCCACTGCATGGTACGGTACGGTTCGGTACAGCGCACTTTGGCGCTTTTCCACTGCATGGTATGGTATAGCTCACTTGTGGCGCTTTTCCACTGCATAGTACGGTACGGTACAATGGTTCCAAGCGTACCATACCGGTACTAAATGTGACGTGAAACACTGCAGATCACTGATCGGTCAGACAGAATCGTCAGTACCAGCATCATTGTATTTGCGACCAATAGACATCGACACGAGAAACCAAACCCGCTAGATTTAAATAGCCAGTAACAGCCACAGCTGTTATCGATCAGTTTATAATCCCACCCACTTTAAAGCGGTACTAACTGCAGTGGAAAAGCAACCGAGCTAAAGCAAACCGAGCCGTGTCGAGCCAAGTCGTACCACGCAGTGGAAAAGCGAAGCAAGCCATACCGAGCCGTACCAGCAGCGTAAAAGCGCCATAAATCTAGCGGGTTTTGTTTCTCGCATT